CACCAGTACTGATGTTGGCGGACGCGTTGATGTTGAGGATGATCGGAGCTACCAAAGGTGCTTGTTGCGTTGTGCTGTAGATAGAGGAACGGTGACTAAAACAGAGGTGTGTGTTGTGGGGAGACTTGCCGCACCGCAGGGCGGTGTGTTGTGTTTATGGCGTCAGCTGATCCATGGTGCTGCGACGAGGCAGTTGTTTTCTGTGTTTAGCTGTTGATTGATTGATGATTGATGAAGATTAAGCCACCCAAAAGGTGGCACGGGCATGAATAGCTCGTAAGTGGTGGCCCTTTTAAGCCATTACCAGTATCAAGAGCTGATACTGGAGATCTGTGGAGGCGCAGCTGCACCCTGCGTGACGGGAGATGTCTCCCGGACCAAGTGGTCTCGTTCAGCTGTTGGTGGCGCCAGGTTTAAATGTGGCGCGGGTCAGATGTGACCATACCTCCCCCCCCCCCCCCGTCTCCATCCCAAACCCTTATCCTGATCGCTTCCAAGATCTATATAGTCCCAATGGGTTAGCGCTTTCTCCTGATAATTACTTTACCCCCTGACTTAAGTTGTCTAAATGTCTTAAGTACAGTGACAGGTGGGACCTTAAACATATACTATGACAACTACATACATATTTGAGGTAAATATTTACAGTGGTGGTTGTTGTATAGAACGAGAGCACACAAGCCACTTGTGTGCCCCACAAGCCACTTGTGTGCCCCACAAGCCCACTTGTGTGCCCCACAAGCCACTTGTGTGCCCCACAAGCCACTTGTGTGCCCCACAAGCCACTTGTGTGCCCCACAAGCCACTTGTGTGCCCCACAAGCCCACTTGTGTGCCCCACAAGCCCACTTGTGTGGCCCACAAGCCCACTTGTGTGCCCCACAAGCCCACTTGTGTGACCCACAAGCCCACTTGTGTGCCCCACAAGCCCACTTGTGTGCCCCACAAGCCCACTTGTGTGCCCCACAAGCCCACTTGTGTGCCCCACAAGCCCACTTGTGTGCCCCACAAGCCCACTTGTGTGACCCACAAGCCACTTGTGTGCCCCACAAGCCACTTGTGTGCCCCACAAGCCACTTGTGTGCCCCACAAGCCACTTGTGTGCCCCACAAGCCACTTGTGTGCCCCACAAGCCACTTGTGTGCCCCACAAGCCACTTGTGTGCCCCACAAGCCACTTGTGTGCCCCACAAGCCACTTGTGTGCCCCACAAGCCACTTGTGTGCCCCACAAGCCCACTTGTGTGCCCCACAAGCCACTTGTGTGCCCCACAAGCCACTTGTGTGCCACGCAAGCCCACTTGTGTGCCCCACAAGCCCACTTGTGTGCCCCACAAGCCCACTTGTGTGTCACACAAGCCACTTGTGTGCCCCACAAGCCCACTTGTGTGCCCCCCAAGCCACTTGTGTGCCCCACAAGCTCACTTGTGTGTCCCACAAGCCCACTTGTGTGTCCCACAAGCCCACTTGTGTGTCACACAAGCCACTTGTGTGGCCCACAAGCCACTTGTGTGTCACACAAGCCACTTGTGTGCCACACAAGCCACTTGTGTGCCACACAAGCCCACTTGTGTGCCCCACAAGCCACTTGTGTGCCACACAAGCCCAATTGTGTGGCCCACAAGCCACTTGTGTGTCACACAAGCCACTTGTGTGCCACACAAGCCCACTTGTGTGCCCCCCAAGCCACTTGTGTGCCCCACAAGCCACTTGTGTGCCCCACAAGCCACTTGTGTGCCACACAAGCCCACTTGTGTGCCCCACAAGCCCACTTGTGTGCCCCACAAGCCACTTGTGTGCCACACAAGCCCACTTGTGTGCCCCACAAGCCACTTGTGTGCCCCACAAGCCACTTGTGTGCCCCACAAGCCACTTGTGTGCCCCACAAGCCACTTGTGTGCCCCACAAGCCACTTGTGTGCCCCACAAGCCACTTGTGTGCCCCACAAGCCACTTGTGTGCCCCACAAGCCACTTGTGTGCCCCACAAGCCACTTGTGTGCCACACAAGCCCACTTGTGTGCCACACAAGCCACTTGTGTGCCACACAAGCCACTTGTGTGCCCCACAAGCCACTTGTGTGCCCCACAAGCCACTTGTGTGCCCCACAAGCCACTTGTGTGCCACACAAGCCCACTTGTGTGCCCCACAAACCACTTGTGTGCCCCACAAGCCACTTGTGTGACCCACAAGCCCACTTGTGTGCCCCACAAGCCACTTGTGTGCCACACAAGCCCACTTGTGTGCCCCACTAGCCACTTGTGTGCCACACAAGCCCACTTGTGTGCCCCACAAGCCCACTTGTGTGCCCCACAAGCCACTTGTGTGCCCCACAAGCCACTTGTGTGCCCCACAAGCCCACTTGTGTGCCCCACAAGCCACTTGTGTGCCCCACAAGCCACTTGTATGCCCCACAAGCCACTTGTGTGCCCCACAAGCCACTTGTGTGCCCCACAAGCCACTTGTGTGCCCCACAAGCCACTTGTGTGCCCCACAAGCCACTTGCGTGCCCCACATGCCACTTGTGTGCCCCACAAGCCCACTTGTGTGCCCCACAAGCCACTTGCGTGCCCCACAAGCCACTTGTGTGCCCCACAAGCCACTTGCGTGCCCCACAAGCCACTTGTGTGCCCCACAAGCCCACTTGTGTGCCCCACAAGCCACTTGCGTGCCCCACAAGCCACTTGTGTGCCCCACAAGCCCACTCGGGTGGAAGGACAAAGTGGTCCTACACTTTTTTTTTTTTTTTTGAGATATATACAAGAGTTGTTACATTCTTGTAGAGCCACTAGTACGCGTAGCGTTTCGGGCAAGTCCTTAATCCTACGGTCCCTGGAATACGATCCCCTGCCGCGAAGAATCTTTTTTTCATCCAAGTACACATTTTACTGTTGCGTTAAACAGAGGCTACAGTTAAGGATTTGCGCCCAATAAATCCTCCCCGGCCAGGATACGAACCCATGACATAGCGCTCGCGGAACGCCAGGCGAGTGTCTTACCACTACACCACGGAGACTTACGTCCCAACTTCAGAAACACACAAGAATCAGTGAGTCGACTGCTAGCAGCCGTGGAGTGAGGACGTTTCTCGACCCTCCGTGGCTGTTGGAGTTGTTTGCTGAAGTGGACATATTTTTATATCCGACGAACAAATATTTCTATAAAATTCAATTCTTATCCGATCGACTTGGGGATAGTATGAACATGTTTGCCATAAAATTTACGTTTTCTTTAGTAGCTACATAGCTTATTTGGGAGAACGGCATTGTCTTGTATCTTTGTGGTAAAACTATTGTAGATCGCCGATGTGCGGTAACAGATAACACTTCGCCCACTTCCCACACTCTTGTGGGTGGGCCGCGATCATCATTCTTCATTTATATACATATGTCCGTGTAGGGAATTTTATTGCGATCTCAAAGATACCAAATTTAACGCTGTAAGACAAGTGTGGAGTTGACAACTCTGAAAAGAATGGAAACATCTCGTCGCTGTTTGGAGCTGTGTGGAGCTCACGGCTAGTGATCTAGTAGTTTCTTAATGGTAGTGGTTTAAAACACAGTTTGGTGACATTTTATACATATGGTCTTCTAGAACATTCTATTGCGAACACATTGGTACAAAAAGGAAATGTGTACATCGAAAATTAAGATCAGGACAGTGAAAAGAGTATACACTTTTCAGTGTTTCCGCTCGATCGCCCGAAACGCCTAGAGCACTATTAACGTTTTTCCTTGTTCGCCGGGCGGCTGAAAGTGATAATTATTAATTTAATTAATTAAATTAATTAAGTAATAGAAAGTGTACAATACTGTATTTTATTAATTATTGTCACAAAGCGTTGACATGACACTAATACTTCGTTACTCTCTAAATCCCAGAAATACACAGATTTCTTAATTTTGTATTTATCAAGAACCATCTCCGAGGAAATTATATAATTATTATGTCATAATGTATTAGGCAGATTATTAGTCATAATGTAACAATTTGTTTGGTTTAGTTTAGTTCATTTATTATGCACCCCATACCCATCTTGTGGGCGGTAGTGGAAAGGGTTACAGAGGCACATAATGGGCTCAGGGACTGAACCCCACAATTCATTTAGCTAAGCAAGTTACAATCTTGATGAGCTAGTTACAAAATTCAGTATAAGTCGTCACATCAACAATGGGTTCGAGATCGACCTCAAGTACAGGTTCTAAATTAAGCAACTGACATATGTGGAGAGCTAGTGTCACAATTGATATGTTTGTCCTGCACACCGCCCCCCATCCAGTGGGCAGCGGTGGATAGGTTACACCGCCCCCCATCCAGTGGGCAGCGGTGGATAGGTTACACCGCCCCCCATCCAGTGGGCAGCGGTGGATAGGTTACACCGCCCCCCCCCATCCAGTGGGCAGCGGTGGATAGGTTACACCGCCCCCCATCCAGTGGGCAGCGGTGGATAGGTTACACCGCCCCCCCATCCAGTGGGCAGCGGTGGATAGGTTACACCGCCCCCCATCCAGTGGGCAGCGGTGGATAGGTTACACCGCCCCCCATCCAGTGGGCAGCGGTGGATAGGTTACACCGCCCCCCATCCAGTGGGCAGCGGTGGATAGGTTACAATCTCTAAGTTACTACCTACAGTTAGCAAACTGGGGATATTTGGCTAAAATTTCTGGTAGCAGATCATTTTGAATGAAATATTGACGCATCGTTGGAACATTGGTTATAGAATTGTCTCTAAATTCACGTATCTTTTCGCACTCCATCACATAGTGACGGAGGGTGTGCGAATAATTTTGTTGACACAGTTTACATTTGGTCAGGTCTACATCGGTAGATAATGAGAATTCCCAGAGATACTTGTAACCGAGTCTAAGGGTAGATTATTATTCATAATGAAACAATATATTAGATGGTTATAATACTAGAGTGTTAATACAAATCCTGTACGTGTTCATATATTTTCCACTTATTATAAATACATTTAAGAGCTAATAAGCGTTGTGAACTCTAGGTTCGGAGCCACTATGTGTACGGACCTCTCAACGTAGAGCTTGTGTTCCATACTGACAAGGGTGTTAAAACCATCAATTCGACTCTGAGTGCTGTGGCTGCTCATGCCGTCGCAGATATGAAGGACAACAGCTCCAAACTCATCGATTTCATCATTGACAGGTAGGATTACCTGCTTCTCAAATTTTCAGGAAATGCTGTTCTCTCACACAGCACCGGCAGACTGCTTCCACCAGTGATCAACAGCCTCCACACCTCCTCTCAGGCAGTGTCCACAACTAGCCAGCACTAATATAGCACTGACAGGAGTTTTCCCACTTGCAGATACGCGCCCACTGGCTTACTGGCCCTCTGGACTTGATCATTGATTACCGCGCAAGTCCAGGTATCACCAGAGTCCGGACTGGTCTCCAGGCTGTCCAGTTAGATACACTGACCACTATAGACCGATTTGGTGCTGAAATGTCAGACTTTCATATCGTCAGGTATGTTGACTGGACTGGACACACAGTGACTTAATGGACGTGTTAGTTTGAATGCTGTAACGATGTATTTATTCAATGTGAATATAAATGAAATATATTTTCCCACTGCAATTCAAGTAGTATATTTTCTGGCATAATCCAGTTCTTTTCTGACAGACATATGACTGTGTATGACACATTATATCATCTCAAGAAGGTATAAAGCAACCTGTCCCCCGTGTTTAGATAGTACTGTATGTAACTATGTGCACTACAGTACAAATATTGACGTACTAAGCCATTAGACAGTGGAAACTTTTCAATTAGACAGCAATTAGATAGTAGAGAAGGAAAAAAATTGTGTTGCATGAGTTGAGAATCTTAATTTTCTGGGAGGTTCAGAGGCACCCTGGAGCTATGTAGGTTATCTTGAGTGGTTATCTTGAGATGATTTCGGGGCTTTTTAGTGTCCCCGCGGCCCGGTCCTCGACCAGGCCTCCACCCCCAGGAAGCAGCCCGTGACAGCTGACTAACACCCAGGTACCTATTTTACTGCTAGGTAACAGGGGCATAGGGTGAAAGAAACTCTGCCCAATGTTTCTCGCCGGCGCCTGGGATCGAACCCAGGAACACAGGATCACAAGTCCAGCGTGCTGTCCGCTCGGCCGACCGGCTCCCCGGTCGTAGCTGAGTCGTAGAAATGTAGCTGAGATAGCTTCCCGGTCGTAGCTGAGGTCGTAGAAATGTAGCTGAGATAGCTTCCCAATGCTTAGTCAAATCAATATTAAACCATATCATAGCTTTGTACTATTCAATTTATAGAATCATTTTTTCATTTATTTCATTTGTTCATTTGTTTCAGTTATAGAAATGAAACAAAAAAATAACTTAAATATTCCTAGGCCTAATATAGTACACATATGTACTATATTAGGCCTCAGATAGCGTGTATTAGGCCTAATAAGGTTAGGTTAGTTTAGCTTGTCTTTGCAACATCAGTAGAAACTCGTTTTCCGGTTTGTCTAAATTCAATAGTGCCGATTTCGACTTTCTAAATGCGTTGCACGTTGGTATATGTACTGTGGTCCTCATCCTTCCTATAAGTACTACCAAAACAGGACGACGGGCTGGTATAAACTGTTAGCATTAACTGACATGACTATCTTTACTCTATATTGAAATTTAAAGTAAAATATGAAGTGGTTATTAAAGAACTTGGCAGCCTGTGAGCCTAGTGCTCTGCACCATTACTGAAGGCTTCTAATATGTGGCTGTGGCTAGTGAACTTAAATCTTAGTAAAGTCTAGTAAACTCGATCTTAACTGCAACATTTGGTTGTGGCTAGTAAACTTAAATCTTAGTAAAGTCTAGTAAACTCGATCTTAACTGCAACATTTGGTTGTGGCTAGTAAACTTAAATCTTAGTAAAGTCTAGTAAACTCGATCTTAACTGCAACATTTGGTTGTGGCTAGTAAACTTAAATGTTAGTAAAGTATAGTAAACTCGATCTTAACTGCAACATTTGGTTGTGGCTAGTAAACTTAAATCTTAGTAAAGTCTAGTAAACTCGATCTTAACTGCAACATTTGGTTGTGGCTAGTAAACTTAAATCTTAGTAAAGTATAGTAAACTCGATCTTAACTGCAACATTTGGTTGTGGCTAGTAAACTTAAATCTTAGTAAAGTCTAGTAAACTCGATCTTAACTGCAACATTTGGTTGTGGCTAGTAAACTTAAATCTTAGTAAAGTATAGTAAACTCGATCTTAACTGCAACATTTGGTTGTGGCTAGTAAACTTAAATCTTAGTAAAGTATAGTAAACTCGATCTTAACTGCAACATTTGGTTGTGGCTAGTAAACTTAAATCTTAGTAAAGTATAGTAAACTCGATCTTAACTGCAACATTTATCAAGTAATAATTCTCAAGCCAAACCCCACAAACTAGAAAGCTGTCGGTAAAGTGAGTGTTGCATGTGTGTTATCCGAGAGGTTGTGCTCGCCCGCAGCCCGCTGTTCGACTACATGCCCTACTATGGCAACCGTACCCTGGCACAGCAGCAGATTACTGAACTGGTGGTTCGTCACCTCTTCTCCGACGCCTCCTTCATGGCTCTCCTCCTGCGGGATGCCTACGAGACTGCGTCCTATGACAAGATTATCCCCCAGTTTGGCACACAGTCCAACTACTTCTCCGTCCTGAAGTACCTCTTCCGGGGAACCCCGAGTGCGAGGCCCCTGGCGAGAGGAGCATCCCTGGTGGGGGAGCCCGCAGCCATCGCTGCCTACTTAACCAATGCTGCAAACTCTCCTCCTCCTCCTACTGCTCTAAAAAACTTAGAATAAAATCGACTTGAGAATGGTCCAGGACGGACCGAAACGTCGTCGTCCCTTCAATTTCTAGTGTGTGGTCTGGTCAACATACTTCAGCCCCGTTATTGTGACTCATCGCCTTCAACTTAGAATAAAAATGCATTTGACGAAATATAAAATGAGCAGGACAACAGAAAAGATTAATACAATAATATTTTAATATAAGTCTCAAAAATAAAAATAAATAATTCCTTATGTAGCTGTGTTATTAAGTGTATTATAATAATGTTGATGATGAAGGTGAATGAGGTCATTATTGTATATTTGAATATCATAGATAAATTGTTCTAAAATATAGTCACTTTGTGAACACATTTATGTGTCCACCATATGTGTCTAGGGAGCCGGTCGGCCGAGCGGACAACACGCTGGACTTGTGATCCTGTGGTCTTGGGTTCTATCCCAGGCGCCGGCGAGAAACAATGGGCAGAGTTTTTTTCACCCTATGCCCCTGTTACCTAGCAGTAAAATAGGTACCTGGGTGTTAGTCAGCTGTCACGGGCTGCTTCCTGGGGGTGGAGGCCTGGTCGAGGACCGGGCCGCAGGGACACTAAAGCCCCGAAATCATCTCAAGATAACCATCAAACCGGTTGTATCGACATTATTATTACAGGAATAATAATAACCAGGACATAAACTGTTGTGAGTGTAATTTGTGGTTCTTTTAAATCACATTTCAATAGTTTTAATGACGAAAAAGAAGTTGTGTTACCTTACCTACCTTACCTTGAGGTTACCTTGAGGTGCTTCCGGGGCTTAGCGTCCCCGCGGCCCGGTCCTCGACCAGACCTCCTGGTTGCTGGACTGATCAACCAGGCTGTTGGACACGGCTGCTTGCAGCCTGACGTATGAGTCACAGGCTGGTTGATCAGGTATCCTTTGGAGGTGCTTATCCAGTTCTCTCTTGAACACTGTGAGGGGTCGGCCAGTTATGTTCCTTATGTGTAGCAGAAGCGTGTTGAACAGTCTCGGGCCTCTGATGTTGATAGTTCTCTCTTGAACACTGTGAGGGGTCGGCCAGTTATGTCCCTTATGTGTAGTGGAAGCGTGTTGAACAGTCTCGGGCCTCTGATGTTGATAGTTCTCTCTTGAACACTGTGAGGGGTCGGCCAGTTATGTCCCTTATGTGTAGTGGAAGCGTGTTGAACAGTCTCGGGCCTCTGATGTTGATAGTTCTCTCTTGAACACTGTGAGGGGTCGGCCAGTTATGTCCCTTATGTGTAGCGGAAGCGTGTTGAACAGTCTCGGGCCTCTGATGTTGATAGTTCTCTCTTGAACACTGTGAGGGGTCGGCCAGTTATGTCCCTTATGTGTAGTGGAAGCGTGTTGAACAGTCTCGGGCCTCTGATGTTGATAGTTCTCTCTTGAACACTGAGAGGTCGGCCAGTTATGTTCCTTATGTGTAGCAGAAGCGTGTTGAACAGTCTCGGGCCTCTGATGTTGATAGTTCTCTCTTGAACACTGTGAGGGGTCGGCCAGTTATGTCCCTTATGTGTAGCGGAAGCGTGTTGAACAGTCTCGGGCCTCTGATGTTGATAGTTCTCTCTCAGAGTACCTGTTGCACCTCTGCTCTTCAACGGGGGTATTCTGCACATCCTGCCATGTCTTCTGGTCTCATGTGATGTTATTTCTGTGTGCAGGTTTGGGACCAGCCCCTCTAATATTTTCCACGTGTAAATTATTATGTATCTCTCCCGCCTGCGCTCAAGGGAGTACAGATTTGGGCTCTTTAGTCGGTCCCAATAGTTTAGATGTTTTACTGAGTGGATTCAAGCAGTAAAGGATCTCTGCACGTTCTCCAGGTCAGCAATTTCTCCAGCTTTGAAAGGGGCTGTCATTGTGCAGCAGTACTCCACTCTAGAGAGCACAAGCGTTTTGAAAAGTATCATCATCGGTATAGCATCTCTAGTGTGAAAAGTTCTTGTTATCCAACCTGTCATTTTTCTTGCAGTTGTGACGGCTACTTTATTGTGTTCTTTAAAGGTAAGGTCTTCCGACATGAGTACACCCAGATCCTTTACATTGCCTTTTCGTTCTATGTTATGATTTGCCTGAGTTTTGTATGTGGTTCCTGTTTTTATATTTTCAATTTTTCCATAGCGCATGAGCTGGAACTTATCTTCGTTAACCACCATATTATTTTCTGTAGCCTATAGAAAGACCTGATCTACATCTGACTGGAGGTTTGCCGTGTCCTCTATGTTGCCTACTCTCATGAAGATCCTAGTGTCATCTGCAAAGGATGATACAGTGCTATAGGTTGTGTTCTTGTCTATGTCCGATATGAGGATGAGAAAAAGTACTGGAGCAAGCACAGTACCCTGGGGGACTGTACTGGAGCAAGCACAGTACCCTGGGGGACTGAGCTCTTCACGGTTGATGGGCTGGATTTTATTTTGTTGACTATTACACATTGGGTTCTGTTGGTCAGGAAATTGTAGATAAATCTGCCTATTTTCCTGGTAATTCCTTTTGAACGCATTTTATGTGCAATAACACCATGGTCACATTTATCAAAAGCTTTTGCTAAATCTGTGTAAATTACATCAGCGTTTTGTTTGTCTTCTATTGCATCTAATGCCATATCATAGTGGTCCAGCAACTGCGACAGGCAAGAGCGCCCTGTTCTGAAACCATGTTGTCCGGGGTTATGGAGATGCTGTGATTCCATGTATTTTGTGATCTTACTTCTTAGCACTCTCTCAAAATATTTTATGATGTGCGATGTTAGTGCTATCGGTCTGTAATTTTTTGCCTCTGCCTTATTTCCTCCTTTATGAAGTGGTGCTATCTCTGCTGTTTTTAGTATATCAGGAATAACGCCAGTATCTAGGCTTTGTCTCCACAGAATGTGAAGGACCTGCGATAGTGTTTTTTATAGTTCTTGATGAATATGGAGTTCCAAGAATCCGGGCCTGGTGCAGAGTGCATAGGCATACTGTTTATGGCTTCTTCAAAATCCAGTGGGGATAGGGTGACGTCTGATATATGATTTGATGTTGGTATCATATCCATGAAAAATTCATTTGGGTTATCAATCTTTAGTGCGTTTAATGGCTCGCTGAAAACAGAGTCGTACTGCTTCCTCAGTAGCTCGCTCATTTCTTTGTTGTCATCGGTGAAAGTTCCATCTCCCTTTCGCAGGGGCCCGATACTAGATGTGGTTTTTGATCTTGATTTTGCATAGGAGAAAAAATATTTCGGATTTCTCTCTATTTCACTGATGGCCTTTTGCTCTCTTTGCCTCTCCTGGGTTTTGTATGATTCTTGTAGCTTCCGTTCAATTGTTTCTATTTCTCTACCTAACCTTCTTCGCCGTTCTTGAGATAGGGTGCGACTCTCAAGTTGTTCCGCGATTCGTTTTCTTCGCCTATATTGGGAACGACGTTCCCGTTCCAATCTGCATCTCTTCCTCTTTTTTCTTAGAGGTATGCGGTTTGAACATATTTCTAGTGCTACTGAGCTTATTTTTTCCAGGCACTGGTTCAGGTTTGCATTTTCTAGCTGTTCTTCCCAGTTTATTTCTGTGAAGTCTTGGTTTATTTGCTCCCAGTTTATCTGTTTATTATTAAAGTTGAATTTGCTGAAATCTCCTCCACCGGGAATCTGGACTGGTTTTGAAGGTCTATTCCCCATGGTTGTCAGAACTTCAATTAAGTTGTGATCTGAGTAACAGGTATTTGTAATCATTATGTTCCTGATCAATTCATCATTATTAGTGAAAATGAGGTCCAGCGTGTTCCATGAGTGTAGAATTTAAGTTTTCTGAGGAGCTCCAGTGGCACCCCTCAAGCTATGTAGCTGAGATATTTCTCCATTACTTGTCATGGAAAGTAATGATATGATTGTCATATCAGTCAAAGGCGTCTTGTTGGCCTACCGGAGACCAGAACCAGAACCTGGCCTCTCAAAGAGGCATAGGGAGCAGGGGATTGTTACAATCACTCATAGGGAAATCGTTCAGAAAAGTAGACGAGACAACACAAGACAACTGCATGGTTCATGAAAAACGGAACTTCTGAAACAGCCAACAGACACCACATAAAAATCACTAAAATGAAAAGATTAATTTAAAACTGGGTACGAAATGGCCCATAATTACCTGTGCATTTACCACCCTCTGGTGGCATCCTGGCCACAGTCCTCTTGCTCACTACTACCTTCTCGTGTTACTTTTCATAGCAAGTTCCCCTTCTTCTCCAAGAGGTGCTGGCACTCTTTTGGTCTCTGTCCTGTGAGTCCTGCCTTGTCACTCGTTTTTGAGTGGTGGGGGGGGGCCCTATCCCCCCTCTGGGGGAATGAAGGGGTTCTTTTACCTCTTTCCTCTGGTTCAATTGATAGTCTGAGTGTGGCCCATTTTTGACAGTGCATCATTCCTTGTTTGTATTATTTGCTTCATGAGGGTGATTTTAAGCTGCAATCTTTCTTTGGTCTTGGTATAATCTGTGCTTCAAGCTGCACGTGCTTAGGGCTACCTTTCCTGGGCACTCATTTAGTGCCCAGGAAACGCCCCGCATCAACCCAGCTTCACCTGCAAACACACAACATGAGAGTCCCAATGATTCCCTTGTTACAACTTGTAATAAAGTTGTTCCAAGGTTCTCTGTGTGTTGAGGAGGTCACCTCTGAGAGGCCAGATCACCGGGGTGCAGAACCGCTGTTAAACCATGCAGTTGGGGGTGTTCTGTTTTGTTGTTGTTGCATGCACTCGGTGTGTGTTCCTTTGGATATCTTGCTTTGTTAGTTGTCTTCAGGCCCTGGCAATATTTCTGAAGATCTGTGGTGTGGCTCATCATAGACTGACCTTTCAAGCCCGCTTTCGTTGTATGCGAGTTTGAAGGGTGCTAGTCGGCTTTGCTACTTACCATCATCGTTTGGTCTATTTTTTGCCATGCTGCTTTTTCGTTTGATGACAACTTCGACCCAGAGTTCAGTGGCATTTCTGCTCGTTAGATCTTAGTCTTATCAGAGTCTGAGTCAGAACAGGAGACTTTTCTGGCAGCTGCTATTTTGTGAGCTGTTTTTTTTGCTTTCATGGTTTGCAGTATGGTGCTCTTTTGGATGCCCCAGAGTTGGCCCTATAGTGTTTAGGGATCCAGTTTTGGAGGAGTTCGTGAATTCCACCTGTTCTAAGTTTGCTCCTCCTCTTCCTTTTCCTTGCTGGTGTGTTTTGTATCCAGCATCTCCTCTTTCCCCTTGATCTCTGGCTGCAAAATGTCGGTTTTTGGAGTCAGGTTATGGATCAGCTGTAGTTGTAGCTCAGCCGAATCTGGGGTTTCCCCATCCACTATGACGGCAGAGACAGTTAAGACATCCTTCTGGCGATGCAGAGCCTTTGCCTTGGCAATAATTACCTGGCT